AAATCAGGCGAATATGGAGGGTGGTCAATTAATTCGAACTTTAAATCGTTAATTTTTGCCATCGAAACTGCACACGTGTGAACTCGAACATTGTCTTGAAGAAAGAGGAATTTTTTTTTGTTCAAGTGAGGACGTGTTCAATTCCAAGTAGTCGATGTAGATGATTCCATACGCATCCCAGAAAACCGTGGCCATAATCTTGCCAGTTAACTTTACTGTCTTTGCCTTTTTTGGGGCTGGTTCTCCTGCGGCAATCCATTGTTTGGACTGTTCTTTGGTTTCAGGAGTGTATAGTAGTGATGTACCCATATTTCGTCTACAGTTACGAGTCGCAGCCAAAAGTCTTCCGGATTACGATGTATGCATGCTAAAAGAGCCTCAGAGATGACCACGCGGGTTGGTTTGTTTTCAACAGTGAGCAAACGCGGCACCCATCTTGCTGATATTTTTTTCATCCACAATTTTTCATGCAAAATTGAAATGACTGTACCCTTTAATACCTCTGTGACCTCAACTAATTCTCGCAATTTTAATCTTCTATCACTCAATACCATATCGTGGATTTTGTTGACCATTTCGGGCGTACTCACTTCTACAGGGCGTCCTGAATGAGGTTCATCTTTTGTTGTTGTACGGCCGCGTTTAAATTCATTGACCCAGTTATAAACAGTCTTGAACACAGGAGCAGACTTGCCATGAACGGCGTTCAACTCAACTGTGATTTCTTTTGGTGTAAGGCCTTTCAAATGAAAATGTTTTATCACCGCTCGAAACTCGGTTTTAGCCATTTTTCAAATAAACCAATAACTTTTTGTTCAACCAACGCTCACAAAAACACGACTTAATGAATCGAGCTGAAACTTTGTACAATATCTAGTTAGTAGTATTGCTTGCCAAAAACGTCATAATTTAAGTGTGACGAGCGCCATCTCTTGGATTTTGTAAAGACTTATTGACCCCCCCTCGTATTTTTTTACCCTGTAATCAGGAAGAGCTAGGCTGAAAATGATATTTCATGTTTGTTTTGTCTTGAATGGACCTAGAGAAGGTCATTTCAAAGTCAAATAACAAAAAAGCTTATCTTATCTTTAGCGTTACTCAGGAATAACGACATGGATATAACAGGATTATGTTTCCGTTGGGGTATTCGATTAGAGTGAGTCCTCTTGCATCTTACTCTCTGTCAGAAGTGCTTTATTAAAGTGACTCCCATCGCCTCTCACTATTTTAACCGCAAAGTAAATGTTTAAAATTACTTCCATTTGCTTGTAGGCACAAAGTTGAGCGCCGTTGAAAATATCGTACAGTGTTCAGTAAAGTCTGTCTCGGAATTGCTGCACATACTTAACAAATGAGATCTTGCAATGTTTTATCTAGTTGTGGGCCGCTATTCGAAAACAGCATTTTTTAAGAAGCCCTACAAATAAAAGTCTGGAGACGTCATATCAGTTAAGTTAGGAGGCCAATGAACTGATCCTCTTCTACCGATCCATCTTTCATGGTAATTCTGATTCAGAAATTTTCAGACATTTTTGCAAAGTGTGATGCTGCACCGTCCTACTGAAACCATATTCTTCGTCTAGTTTCTAAATAAACATCTTCCAATCACTCTGGTAATTGGTCTCTTATTAACTGCAAATAGCTGTCTATCAACATTCCGCTCAAAAACGTAAGATTCAATCAAATATCTATTTACAATTTCACATCATACCATAAGGCTCCAACAATACTGATGGTCTACAGCTCTGTCCCAGTGAGGATTTTCAAATGAATAATAATAAAAGTTGTACCTATTCATTCCCATCGCTATAAAATTTAGCTTTGTCAGAAAAAAAGACCTAGTTGAAAAAATTGGGATCATTTTATATCATCTGTAAAGCCCATCGGCAAAATTCAATCCTCATTTGCATATGATTACTTTTCTGATATAGTAAGCATGGTATATATTACTTTTCTGATATAGTAAGCATGGTGATATAGTAAGCATGGTAATTAATTAGAATTTCCAGAAATGTTACTCTGAAAATACCGACTTCTCTTTCAATTTGACGACTACTGACATCAGGATTAAGATGAATAACAGCAAGAATAGTAACTACACGACCATCATCTTCATTGTATATGCAACGCCTGCATTGGAGAGAAAAGACGTTCTCGACGAGCTCTGTCAATAAAACTTTATATTGTTATACGAGTAAGATATCTGCTACCTGGAAAATGTTTAGCGTAAACTCTTGCTGCAACACGATAATTATCACGACACTCCCCTAAAACTATTATCATATAAAAAAATTGACTTTAAAATATCGTTCTGAAGGTCATGAAAAATACTTTAAAATACTATTTCCGACTTAAAATTTCCCGCTCTTTTCAAATCTGCTCTCAAAAATATAAGTTTCCATTTAAAAAAATTAAGTTAACCTTCAAATAACCTTGAAAATGAAGATCAAGGTCAAAATAAATTACATTAAAAGGTGGCCTCCTCCGCTATGAACAACTTTTGTGTAAACTTTTGTTTCATATCGTACTTAGGAACAGAGCAATTTGGGTGGATAGATTAAAATTAGTCACCCTGCATTCGAAATATGTAATATTAATATACAAATTTAGTATATTAATATTGAGGAACTCTAATAAATTGAGATTGGGTGTTGATGAGCGAAACGAGCAAAGGGGTTCCCCCCTAGTTTATATATAGAGATAAGAGATTTTTTATCAGCCGTTTAACCTTTTGCCCTCTTTTACTTTTTCTTTTGTCTCCCATTTTCCTTTTTCATCAGTGGCCGTTGAGAAAACAGCGAGACGCTGGGTGCTATCAGTTTTGCAGACCACTGTATTTGCAGAACCGATTGCTTCGATTACTAAATTTTTTTGATTGACTGACTCATGGGTTTAGTAGTATGGCAATGAGTGAGGAAGAACGTCTTTCAGGATGGTCAGAGGGTACGCTTCTACGTAAGATGGCACTGTGCATGATGCTCGAGAAAATAAAGGAAAAGTCAAGCTGAAGAGAAATGAGCAAATGGCAAGAATTGCTGTCACCACCGCGGTTACGGCAAACAACACAGCTGCTGCTGCTATAAGCGCCCTAGTATGAACAGTTGCCATCATCGTAACACTTTCTATTGATATAGATTCCGTTTCAACTGCGATGACGCAGCTGTCTATTGATATCGATCAACTAGTGGAAAGTATCTGAGCGGTGAAAGGCCACTCAGGTGATAAAAAAAAATTTGAAAGATAAAGGCCACATTATAGCCAGAATGCTATCAATCGCCTCAGAGTCCATAACCTCATATCTCACAGTAATTTTCAATAAATCTATTGAAACATGTATTTTTCCCACTTTTCAAAATTAAAGCTCCCCAAATCTCCTCAGACACCAAATCAATAGCTCAACTTCCTGAAGCATTCAAGATTTTAAAGCGAATAGTGCATCAGCGATTGTCGAGCTACCTCGAATGCAATAATCTCTTTAATTGTAGACATATTGACAGTGGGAAGGGTTTAGATTACATTAGTGTGTCTTTTGGATGATATTAAAAATGTAGTTGAGAGAAAAATGATCACAATTGTGATTTTAATTGATTTCACTAAACCCTTTAACTCTATTTTGCATATCTTATTCAGAAGCTTTAAAATTTTTAAATTAGAGATAAGGTATTGAGATGGTTTGTTAATTATTTTACCAACAGAATTCAGATTATTGTTAACGATGATAGAACTGTTTCAAAATGATTGAGAGTTCAATCAGATATTCCTCATGGAAGTATTTTGGACTAATTGTCATTTTCATCAATGACCTATCGAAAACCTAATCGAAAGTCCTAATTTTTACAGACCGTCTGTAAGAATATTATTCTCGGTCTAAAAAAGGCTTAACTTGATGTACAAGGGGTAGTCAATTCGACTTTTCAAAAAAGATTAAAGGTTAATGTAGCTAAGAGACAGGTTATCGTTATTGATATCGATTTATACATATCTAGTATTGACCTTCATCTTTTATAAAAAATTATAATCTTAAGATTCTTTTTCCTCTACTGTTCAAAAGCCTGAATCTTACATCATCTCATCTACTCTGCAATGGGAGCAATATACCAACTAGATTATTAAAAAAGTTCATACTTCAGTAATTTCCTTACGGTTACATAAAAAGTTATTAATCTTATTGCATTTTGCATATGGTTCTATGATCTACTTGCACCCGGGTAAAACGCGCATAAAATCGCTCGAAGTGACTCATAATGTTTGTGTTTGCTTCATAGTCGGTTATGTCTCCTTCATTCCCTTAGAAGATATTGTCACTTACGTCTTCTTTCATAGACCTGCTTAAACTGGCTCACGCTTGAGTTCCAAAGTATCATAGCTCTGTTGATACCTACTTTTCAGGTAATCTGTACCCGTACACCTGCATGTTTGATTGCCTACATTAATTCAACAAACCAATGTTATTAAAATCGGCAATCTAAGATCTAAATCCATCTATGCTAATGATCCAGAAAAAATACTTTAAAAAAGAATATTCTGGATCCATTCTGGACCTGATATCCGCACTGCGGGGAATAATCTATATCCGTATAACTTATTCTTTGATAAGATAGAGATGTTACCCTACTTTTTAACTTAAAGAAAAGAGAGTAGAGTTTAAGGCTTACACTTTACCACTTGCGGTATTTATGGACAGTATGACACCTTAATTTACAGACAATTTTGACAATAATATCTACAGAAAAGTTGTATATATAAACGCGAAAAATTGTGACAATATCGACAGAAATACCGATTTAGTAGGTTTTTGACTTTATAAGTACACTATCGTGTGTGTGTGTGTGTGTGCGCGCGTGTGTGTGTGTCATAAATGTTCGGAAGAATTTCTGAAATGTCTTTTTTATCAGTTAAGAGACAATTATGGGTAAATATAGGCTATAACAATTCATATAATAAGTTAGTAATATGCTGTTTTTTGAGTAATAGAGTTATTGATTTATAAAATTACTTACCGACAAAGTGATTCCACTCAGTATCCAGAGCTGTATGTTGTATGAGACAACCTTTCATGACATTTTCACACATATCATTACAGGCAAGCGCTTTTTCTGGTTCAAATCCTGCACACTTAGGACATACACTCATACGCGTAATGGCTACAGTACAGTCGCTTGAAGACTTCAACTAAAAACAAATATTTGATGTCATGTACTTTAATTTTTTATCTTTATAGTATTTTTAACTGTATATTTTGATATTATTTCGACCTCTATGTTACATTACACAATTTTACATTACACATTATTGTGATGGTAATTATACGTATGAAATTAATCTAAAACGTGTATATGTGAAGGATTTTTGTTAAATATATAGTCTGTACAGATAACTTCACCAATGTTAAGATCTTTATATCACCATTCACGTGAAGCTTACATTCACATTTTACCAATTGGGGCCAGATTTTATTGAAAGAAATACAGAGTTATCAATAGATAACACTGAACCCTAATCAAATTACTGGAAGAATGACAGAGCTCTTGAAAAACTAGTTTGGACGTGGGACAATCTGAGTGGACATTCATATCGTATAACCTGAACAATTACTGTCGCAAATAAACCACATATAACAATTTTGTCTTTTTCCAAAAAAACTGATAGCAGTATTGGTTGGAAAAGGATCTCAGGTCATTGATGTGTGAAAACTGAGACTACTCTGCCTTTACGACACCCGATACCTATCCAATGTACTTTTTTTATTTTGTGTTATTTATCTGAAAGCCTATAACGTAGTGCTTTGCCGAATTGTAAAACACAACGTTATTACGAAATTTTGCATACCATTGTTTATTCGACACGCGGTAATGATAGTTTCAAAGGCGTTAGATACTGATGTTACAACCGCATGGAAAAGTATCTCTCACTTTTTCATAGGCACCGTTCATTAGTCAAATATTAACAAAGATTATATTAAAATTATCACAAAAACTACTAGTTAAATGTTAAGATGATTTTAGGGCTACGGATTTCCGTTTTCAATTACATAGATTAAGGAACAAAATATTAAAAAAATATAAAATTCAGGAATTACAGTAAATTAACGAAATCACTATTTATTCAAAGGCAATAATTAATTAAAGATGAATATAATAAAAAAGTAAATTGAACGAAGTATTAATTCAACATAGACATCACTAGCAGCGCACGCTGAATAACGAATTCTTTGTTACATACTTTCGAAATACTGAAGAAATACTTGCGCTAAATACGTTATCAAAAATAATTACTTATTATTAATTAACATATAGAATAACAAAGGCAACATTTATGAAATTGCAACATAATAGTTCAAACAGCGGAATTATCGATGATCAATGACAACAGATCACATTTGTCCATTTACAATTTTCGCAGTTAGAAGTAGTTCAGCAATTTTACGATATGTTATTTGAACTTTATAAAACGCAAAACATTTAAGATTTAAACAAAGTATTGCGTATCATTTTTCTACCGTGCATGAAGCAGATAACGACTTTTGCGTTTGGCAACTATTGAAAACTTTCTCTACAAGTTCGTTCTCGAAATTCATCTCGTCGTCCTTTTTTTAAATATCAGATAGACTAAAGATTCATGAGCAGGTAAGTGTATGCGAAAATACTCTTGTTAGAAATGTTACAGAGTAATCTCTATTCAAGATTGTTCAGTAATATTCAATTTGCCATTCGATTTGCATGAAATAAAATAAACATATGCGCATAAGTGTCACTCACAGTTATTCTAACAAGGAAGGTACCCCAACACGAACTTACCGATTTTGATAATTCTTGTATATGTTGTAGTACATTAAAAAAAGCAAGAGATTGGTATTTTTTTATGGGCGGAAAAATATATTTAAGGGGTGAAATCCACTCTCAAAGTTCACCCCCAAAAACATTTTTTTGCAAATAATTTTTCTTCTAGTCAATATTTTTTAGTAAAACAAAGTGGATAATAATCCTTATAAAAAGTAAATCAAACTCTGGTATGTTTGACTTTTGGGGGTTGCAACTCCTATTTTTAATACACGAGAAATTGAAAAATTGACATCATTTTCTGCAGTAAAAACTTTTAAAATAGTGTAATTATAACCAAATTTTTATACTCATAAAGAAAATAGAAAAAATAAGTTTGTTTTCCAGCATTTTTATAAAAAAATATTTTATAAAAATATATTTAAAATATTTTTATAAAAAAATATTTAGTAAAACCGAGTGGGTAATATTCCTTATCGAAATTATAACAAATTATCGTAAAATTAACTTTTAGGGGTTGCAACCCCTATTTTTAATAGGTGAGAAATTGAAAAATTGACATGAATTTTCGCAGTGGAAAAATAGTTTAGTTTTGAACAGGATAACGGTAGTCGATTCGATCAAACGATACGTCCGTGATTCGGTAGCACTCGCGATACTAGAGCGAACGTCTAAGAGAGAGAGGGGAGGCGTGAGAGTTCAAAGTTTCAGTTAAGCCTAAGCTATTGCTTGTGAGAGAGTACCGCCAAATTATTGTCCACTGTGTTTCGCCGTTTAATCAAATGTTGTTTCCTGGGATTTTTGATACGTGCACGAGTATCGTAAGAGACAATCACAACAGCAACAAACGAGCAGCGGCATTAAGTGCAGCAACAGCAGATTGGTAGTGAGGTGAACCGGCGTAACCTTTCCAGGGAGGAATTCGTTGGCCTACAATTAATTTCTTCAACAATTACGGCTGATCACCGTAATTGCGACGCAGGGTAGGTGCACCTCCCTTTTTCAAATATTAAAATTTAAATAATTATAATAATAATGGAATAATAATGAAGGAATAATAATAGTAATAAAGGAAATAACATTCGTTTGTGTATTAGTAACGTAGAATATTATAGTGAGTAACGGGCTGTTTAATAGTTAATAATAGAAATCGGTGAATTACTGCAATGTGGTCCAGGAAAGGCCAGCGATAGCTCTCTGTAATCCGAATTGCACCAGGGCAGTGAATTGTAAAATAATTTACAATCATCAATTTATTTATTTATTTTTTTCATGTGCTGTTACGCGATGAGCACCAACGGTACTATTATTAAGGGTGTTGTCTAGTCGGGTACTTTGAACAATCGATTTTTTTTTACATTTTCGAATGTATATGTATGTAAGAATATTGTGTTAAATTTTTATAAAGATCGGAGCAGTATAAGTGTATTTTTTTGAAGCTCTGTGAATTACATCGCTGATCACGATTCCACGCGTGTTCAAGAAGCAAATCGCCACAGCTTGAATACTTCCAAAGAGTCTAGAACAGCGAGAAAAAAGGCTAGATTGGGAGAAAATCAAGATTTCGATCAATCAGAAGGTACTTCATACGGTGCAGGCATTGCAGATTAAATTTTTGTAAGATATTTTTTATATTTTTTGTTTAAAAAAACTTTAAAAACGCGTTTTTCTCAAAACAACGTTTTTTCGGACCTGCAACACGATTTTTCCGGAACCAGTGGACCGATTCTTTTGAAATTTAGACCACATATTCTATACATAATTATCCACAAAGTGGACCACTTACAAGTTATAATTTTGATTTTTACTATTTTTTTTTCCAAAAAATGCCAAAAAAAGCCGTTTTTTTCAACTTTCACATTTTATTAAGTAAAATCCACAAAATTAGCCCAAACTTAATAATTATGGTCCATTCTGTAGCTATTATCATACCAAATCTAAAATACTTTGATTTTTTTGTTTCAGAGAAGCCGTTGCTGAGAAATCATGTTGCGACTAAGCTGTCTTGAAATTACCGCTCAATATTCAACTACGTATTTCGTACAATAAACTTGAAAAAAATGAATAAAAAAAAATTTTTTTTTGGTATTTAAGATCTAATTTATTATACCTACGTATTTTTATATCCATATCTTTCATAATCTACTCAAAAAAAAAATTCCAAAAAATAGCATTTTTTTTACCCCGCCGACTAGGCAACACCCTTAAATAATACTTTCAACCTGCTATTCTTCCAAAACCTCCTCCGAAAGTCATCATACTAATAAAGGCATACTAATCACTTCAAGAATAAGAAAATAACCAATGCTGTCGAAAACATAAATTGCAAATAAGAAAAATAAGGAATTTCTGAACAATCACCTCAGATACGCCGATTAACTCAAGAAGTGCGTCCGAAAATACATCGAACATGTATTTTATTTTTTATTTTATTTTGCGAAAGTGTATAGTAAATTTTCTTTATGTTGCCAGTGTATGTAAAATAATTCCTTAACTTTGCCTATATGTATACAGGGCAGCTTTTCTCATTTGGCTTGCGTACGTAATTATTATTTTATATTTCCAATAGCAAAATAAAATATGCAAAAGCGTATTAATAATTGCCACAAAAATGTATATTAAAATATTAAAATTATCTTATTACAAATATCTATCAAAATAATTGTAAAATCTGTCTAGTATATCGTGAGTATGATAGCAATTAAAATGCGGCTTGATAAACATATTACTGCATTAGCCACTCCCACCTATATCTATACCTATGTTAAATAGAAAGAGATAGCTTAATAGATAGAAGAGGACAGCGCATGACACTCAACTTGCCTAATAGACAGAGACAAGCTTGTATATAGATTAATGTGAGAGAGAAAGATAACATTAACCTGTTAACGGGGGAAATCCTTTTCTAATTACGCAACATATAACGGGCGCGTCCTTTTCCACTAAGACGTGTATGAATGACGTATTACCATAGTAGTAGTAAAATATACGTCCCGTCCGTTCCAAGGCGCAATATAAATATCGAGGACGTATTCATATGTCCTACCCGTACTCGATATTGTTTACTTTGGACGTATTTATCCGTCCCGCTCGGTTAACAGGTTAAGCACGAAAATCATCGAAACCGAAATTGTATTACAACTACGAAAATTTATGACTAAGAGAAAGAGGGAGGGGGAGAATTAGCCGGAGTTTACTGACAGCTTTTACCCGATACAGATGTACAGTTTTGTGTCCTTGAATCGCTTTGTAAATTTCCCCCGTGATTTTACTAGAATCGGAGTGCATTTATTTAGAAGCACCATAGCTTGCTCGTGCTCACCGTGCCTGATTTGGAGTTGTATACAAATTATGTTACTAAATACAGAAGCCGCTAAACTGACGATAGAAAAT